ACTTACAAAGCGGGAGGACTCGACAAAATGGTGAGTTGTCCCCATCTCTAGTAGTAATATATTTGACTCCAAAACCAGGAGACTTAACACAACTGCTGGTCAAGGGTAACTTCCAAAGCAGTAAAACTATCATTTAACAAGAACATTTCTTAAGGATTTCTAAGGTAATTATAGAACTAATGAATTGTTTTCAACAGATGTAAACACTTTACACAGAATAGCTTTTACACAGAAAACAAAAACAACACTTCTTTTAAGGTTACTATTTCTGACTAGTTTACTGACTTAGGCAAGGTTTGCATAATACCCCCAAGATACTTGTGGCTAATTGGTGAGGTACAGGAGTGCATCTTAGTTGTATAATTGGGACAAATTTGAGACATGCTCCCAGCACCCCATCTATTAACCACAATTAGCTGTGACAGGTTACACAAACCTCAAACAAACACCTTTAGGATTCTGGCCCCTGTTAATTCAAGTTTGGAACAATGGGGTGGAAGGGAGAAGAAAGCTGAGTTAATCCCTGACCCAAGACTGACCCAAGAAAGAACAAGCTTTCACTAGAGGATATTGATTTGCATTTAAATGATTTTTAAAAAGTTTATTAAGTTACAGCTCTATGCAATATTTTGAAAAAAAATCATGGTGATTAAAAATTCATTAGTCACTATTTCATTTACTCTTTGTTGATTAAAAGTAGACATGAATGGGAGTAAAGAGGGCCATAAAGCATTGTCAGTTCAGAGTCTATTACAAAGTATAAATTACTCTGTGGATACACAGATAAAAGTTCATTCTCATAAAGATGCAAGGAACAGATATTTATTTAATTATCCTTCCAGACTCTGAGCTGATCCTGGGTCAGTCCAATGGAGGTATGGATTTTATTATTTATATACACAGATAAAATAAGCCATGAGATAGTGAAAATACTTCCTTGTCTTTTCCAAGTTTTCTTCTTAATGCTAGTTCATTTCTTATGTGAAGCATAAACTGTAATCCTACCTTGATGACGCTTCCAATTAGATAACACACAAAGAAGCTGTATTTTCATTCTACTCAAAATATTCCTGAACTTCAGTTCCCTCCATCTTTAAAATTCTTTTCATTCAAAAGCCCAACATTTAAATGCCATGAGCCAAAGGTTTTAGCCACATCAGTTAGCTGCACGGCAAGGGATACAGGAGCATAGTCTGTTATTGTCTGAAATAGTTTACTTGGTGTGTTATCATGTACTGAAGCAAAGAGGATGATACCAAAAAGTAATCTAACCAAAAGCAGATTCATACCCACTGCCTTTTACTATTATTGATCGAGAGGCAGGAGTTGAGAATTAGAGATGGGCACAAACCACAGTTCGGCATGGTTCGGTGGTTCAGCTGTACAGCTGTTCCGTGGGCACCCCGGCTTCCCTTGACCTTCCTCCTTTGGTGGGGACCCATTCACAGGCAGCACCCTGAGGAGGCAGGATTGAGAAGCTGCAATGCTGCCTCCGAGTGGATGCCCACTGGAGGAGATGGGATAAGGGAAGTCGGAGTACCTATAGAACAGTTGTGCAGCCAAACAGCCGAACCACACCAAACCACTGACCTGCGGTTCATGCCCATTGAGAGGGTGGCTCAAACTGCTAGTAATTTAAGAATCTATGTTCAGGAATGCCCCTGTATGAAAAAAGCGGGGGTCATGTGCAAGCAAAGGAGAACACGCACACTGAAATGCAATAAAAAGCAAGAACATTTTCACTTTCAAGTGCCTTCAAAGCACAATCTCTGCCTGAGGAATAAGCTCAGTGGGTGGGATGTCTGAGTTTGAAAAGAGTGTAGTGTCCCACTTGCCTGAAATGACCAACCTGGACACTGTGCTCACACTGCGGCATTCTCACATGTCAGCACTCACTCCATAAATGCTTACAGAACAGAAATCTTAAAGGTGTAGCTAATAGAGAATGCAAGTGTGCACAAAGCTTGATTATGAATATATACAATGGTGCAATTATTCTGGTTCGCCAGTAGGTGGAACTGTAACCTATTATTTTTTTTAGTCGATATGCTTTCTCTTTCTTACTATGTTTCCCTGAAAATAAAACAGGGTCTTATATTAATTTTTGCTCCAAAAAATGCATTAGGGCTTATTTTCAGGAGATGTTTTATTTATTTATTTATATCCCACCTATCTGGTCTTACAACCACTCTAGGTGGCTTCCAAACACATAAAAACAACATATAACAAGAAATTTTTACATCAATAAGGAAGTTCTTCAAAATGGAAAGGAAATAGCAAGAGGTAAATAAAGAAAAGAAAGTCAAATATTAACTGTAGGGAAGGCCTGCACAAACATCCAGGTTTTTAACTGGTTTTTAAAGATACCCAGTGAAGGGGCCGCACGAATCACCGGAAGAAGGCTGTTCCAGAAGCGAGGAGCTACCGCCGAGAAGGCCTGGTTTATTGTTTTTTCCTTCTGGGCCTCCCTCGGCATCCAGCTCCTCAGCCTCACCTCCTGACTCGATTGGGTGATACGAGTAGATTTTGGTGGGAGTAGGCGTTTGCCAAATATCGAGGCCCTAAACCATTTAGGGCTTTATACGTAAGCATCAAAACTTTGAAGTCAATGCAGAACCGAAAGGGCAGCCAGTGCAATGCAGCCAGAATAGGAGAAATATGATGATACAGTGGTGCCCCGCACCCCCATGTTCCGCCGGCCATTTTGGGTGTTCTGGTGGCCATGTTGGGTGTTCCGGTGGCCATTTTGGGTGTTCTGGTGGCCATTTTGGGTGTTCTGGCGGTCATTTTGGGTGGTTCTGGTGGCCATTTTGGCTCTTCCTGCCACTGCTGAACAGCTGTTCCCCCTTGCTATGTGAAGAAACATCGGTAAAATCCGCATCGGTATGCGGATTCATCGTTAAACGGTGTGCTCGTTATGCAAGGCACCACTGTATTTTCTCAATGCACTGAGGAGTCTGGCTCAACCTTAAAGGTAGCCCCATGTAGAGCGCATTACAGTGGTCTAATCTTGAGATTACGAGCGCATTACCCAAGGTAGTGAGTGACCTAAAATCAAGATAGGGTCGCAGCCGGGCTCTCCACCCAAGATGAAAACAGGACTCAGCCAATCCTGAGGGGGCTGCTGTTGCTCCTGCCTTGGCAACTCACCACATGCTGCTGGACCTTTATGACATCACAGGGGGCCCACCTCTCTGCCTGCAGATAAAAGGGGCTTGAGAGGCAGGGCAGGGGACCAGAGGAGAGGAGAATGGCCAGAGAGCAGTCCAGCAAGAGAGTGGCTGCTGGGGACACAGACCTTGTCAACCAGGCAAGTTCTCTATTGAACTTGCTAAGTGGGCTTACTTTTAAAAATCTTTCAGGGTTTTCTTTTCTATTAAAACGTTTATTTCCGCTCTGACCCTTGCAGAAAACAATTGGCTGCCACAACACAACATTTTTAGTAAAAGGCCTGCGTCCCACCTCTTCACTGTGAAACAGCCACATCAAAAAATGGGGTAGGAAGATTTCTTCAAAGCTTGGGGGGCATGTTTAAATTTATTGTTTTAAAAGGAGATACATTATAGCACATCATTAAAATGTCAGGGTGTTAAAAAGAAAAGAAAGGCTACATACTTAAAGTCTTGGCTATGTTTGCCTTTTTCTGCTCACATCATGTTGTACAGTGTGACCTGATGTCTGTTTTATAGCAAACTTTTTTCACACACTTCTCTGTGCAAGGCTGGCTAGTTTCCTCTAGCCTCCATTGTGTGTTTATATATATACAATGAAGGCTAGATAGATAGATAGATAGATAGATAGACAGACAGACAGACAGACAGACAGACAGACAGACAGACAGACAGACAGACAGATAGATATTTTTACTTACTTTATTTAGGCTTATACCCCTCCCCTCTAGACAAAGTCTACTTGGGGCAGCTTACAAAAAATGATAAAATACAATAGAATAACTTACTTACTAGATAGACAGACAGACAGACAGAAATTGAAATAGAAACCATTACTTGTCAGAGCAAAAATATACCTTTAATGACTTCTTGTATTAGTTTTGAAATGTAACTCAGTCCCATACTTTTCAGAGAAAGATTCATGCAAACCTGTTTCAGCAGATATAACACAAGCTAGCTCAATGGCTTAAGACCTGCATAAATAAACCTTTTTATACCTTTTTAACATCTTAATGGCTTTCCAGGAAAGAATTCGATGAACTATAATCTGGAAAAAGTGTTTAGATAATCTGGAAAAAGTGTTTACATAAGTGTTAAAATTTGATGTTTTAAATGTTTTATGATTTTTTTATTGTGATGTTTTTATCATGTACATAAGCCACCCCGAGTAGACTTTGCCTGGGGGGGGTCGGGATAAAAAATCTAATAAAAGTAAAGTAAAGAAAAAAGGGTACTTGAAAATTCTTTATTAAGGGACCTTGTGCAGATTTACAATTTGATGGGTTCTTTGTAGATAAATAGGGACCACCTCGGTGGGAAGGTAACAGCGTTCCATGTCTAAGTCGCACTGGCCATGTGACTATGGAAGATTGTTTTCAGACAAACACTGGCTCTACAGCTTGGAAACGGGGATGAGCACCACCACCCAGAGTCGAACACGACTGGACAAAAGTTGTCAAGGGGAACCTTTACCTTTGGCCAGAATGCATGGCCTTAAATGATTCAAAGTCAGTCAACTAGCTGTGCCTTCAAACTTTCGAAATACATTGTTAAAACAGCACATATGTATAACTCTTCACAAACCTCATTCTTTCAAGTGGAAACATATGTTTATTGTTGGGATTATATTGGACTGACTCCAACAGAATCTTAGCATCAAATTGCAGATGTGGCTGCAGTCCTCTGCACAGTTAGGCTGCAGAACTGTGACACCTTCAGATTTCAATAGAATTTAAAAGCCCATCCTGTGGGTTTCACCATCCAAAATAAATTAAAGAGAAATTGCTGCAATTGCATCACACATTAGAATGACACAGGACGCAAAATGGCTCCATGAACTTACTTTACTCAAAGATCAAATGCACGAAGAAACAAAGCAAAGTGTCTTTGGAGACAGCTCAGCAAAGATGGACTTCATCATGAGCTGGGGTAGATGGTGGGGTGGCTGCCTCCTCACATCTTGCAATAAACCTCGTAATTAATTTTAGCTCCTAGTTTAGTGCCAGCTAAACACTCCTCAAATTTTCTGTCCATTTCTTGGTTCTGGGAGTCTGAGAACATGCTTCTCCAGTCACCAACAGATCCTGTGAACATTTTACAAACAATGAATGAATACCGTGTACCCAGTAGAATGATGTGTTCAAAAAGTTATTATACTAGGCCATCTCCATTTTCAATTTTATTAAGAATTGTAAACAAATGAGAGGCTTTCCCTGTTCCCCAGGTCACATAACACAACAAAAGTGACTTTCAAATAGAATGACTGTTGTTATGTGTTATAACACAGATCATTTATCTCAGTGGTTGGAGTCTTGGGCTAGGACTTGGGAACAAGGTCCAGGCCAGCAGGACCTTGTTCTCACATTCTTTGAGATTTCAAGGCCAAACCTTGGGCAAGATAATGCCTTGTGATGTCATGAGGGAATTCGTGAAACCACAAAAGATGGGTCGTCATGTAATCATTGCAAAATATGTATGTCTAAGTGTGTATGTAAGTGAGTGAGACAGACATTGTAGATTTCCTGAAGTACCTCCTAAACATATACTGTGCACAACACAAATTAGATATGGACTGAATTAGTGCAGCCCTGTATCACTGAGAATTGGAAGAAGATAGGAAGCCAGATATTGAAGCCATCACACATGATAAAATTAAACTTTTTCCTCTTCTGGCTTATTATAATTTGTCATCAAGTCTGGAGACTTAAGGAAGCATAACAGTCACATGTGAGTCCACCCAGCACCCTCAAACCTGGCAATCCTAGCTGGAAGACCCATCTTCAAGTCCCGCTGAGCTATGAAACTTACTGGTCTCAGGCTGAACAAGGTTATTGTGAGAATAAAGTGGGGCCATGTAGATCTTCTTGAATACATTGGAGGAAAGGCACGATAAAAACATAACTTCTGGTTTTTCTTCTCTGAGCAGAGTTTGGACATCCTTCTGGTTATATTAACTCTACATGTGACAACGCTAAACAATGTTGTTTTGCTGGATCCAAACCAATAAGAAACTTTTTACACATCTTTGCCCAGCTTTGTTGAATAAACTGCTGACACAATCAGCACTTTTTGTTTCTTACCACATGACCAAAGTATTACAATTTTCTCTATAAGAGATATTGGTTTCCTAGTCTTCATTCGTCTTAGTACTTTGTACACGATTTACTCTCTCAAACCAAGAAATTCCTGGCATCCTGGATATATCAACATTTAAAATGCATCTACTTTCTTATATCTACCTGTATTAAAGTTCATTATTCCATGTAGAACCACAGCATGATCAAA